AAGCAAAACTGGCAGTCCTTCTTCGCAGGAAAAAGCTGAAAATGAGCCAGTAAGGTAGCTTTGGTTTGGTTAGCGGTGTACTCCACCCTGTGGCGGCGAAAACAGATATTTCATCCATTCGGTCGCTTTGAGTCAGATTTCTGCAGTCGTATAATTTGTATAGAGCCTTTATGTAGCTTGCTGTGTACGGAATTTATTATTCAAATTATATAATTCAATGGAATCTAATTTATTGTAAGTGGACAGGAAATATCCAAACCGTATTCAGCTGGTTTGCAGAATAATGCGTCGGTAGCATTACACTCTGGGAAAAACACGCTTTTGCCAGAGGCTTTTATGGCAGCTGCAGTCACCCGCCGTCATTAGCTTGTGTGGGCGTGATTGCATTCTCTGAAATATGGCAACCTGTCGTGTTTTTTCACCGGAATGTTTTTATAAAGGGTGCACACCTTACGTACGTTGTGTACCTGTACCTGGAATAATAAAATTTTCTTTCAAAACTTATTATTATTTTGTAAACCTAACAATACAAAAGAAACTGATGTTTTTTTTTATTTGTGCCCGCTGTATCTGGCCACGCATTAGTTAATTTTATTTGTAAATACGCCCTTGAATTAAGTAAGTATACGTACAGAATACGCAAAAGAAAACAGGGATTTGTTTTATCTAGGTTACGAAGCTACAAGTAAAAACTCAAAAATATATAGCCGCCGCTGTGACATTTCTCTAACCATACAATAAGAAAACAGAGAACAACATATTATTGTCTGGTAAAGATTGCTCAAGATAATACCACAACCGTGATTGGCATAAACACCGGTAAATTCCCTCCATGTTTCGTGTGCCAGTACCGTGTGTGACCTTTGGCCAAGTGGTTCAACTGCATAAAATATCCCATCTGATTCTCCAATACCGCGGCGCTTGAGCGATGGGAGAATTTTTCAAAGAATTGCTGCCTGCTGTCTATAGCCTTGTCGCTGACAACGGCTGGTCGCTATTTCCGTCTCTTTGTCACCCCACCTTTGATGAAACTTGAAGCCCATTTTACCGAGCCAACTTATATGCGACTAAATGTCAAACTGAACAACAACACTGGACATTATCTGCTCAGACTGTCTATCCCGTTGCTACGGCGCACTATTCGTAGGACATCATGGTCAAAGCAGACATCATTCAGATTTACGAGATACTCGTACAACCTTTGTTCGAATACGTACATAAACTACAACGTTAATAATTAATTCTGTTTGCTGCGTTGCTGTCGTAAGGTTAACCGGTGGCAGAATACCGAAAGCATTTTCTTCGAGAGGCCGTTCGTGTACCGGGTGGCTAAACAAAATGGCCACGTGTAGGTGTCTCGCTTTCGTACGTTTCTCGTGGATCAAACGTCGCACTTTAAACTGTTTAGACTTATTCGATAGACAGTTTTATTGGTTATTGAAAACAACTAAACTTGTTTTGGAAATGTCAGACATGTTTGTTAATCATAGTGCTGAGTGCTGAGTCACTCCTGACTGACCCGTCTATAAATTTATCGTGTCCCAGCTAGCAAAATACGAAATCTCGTGGCATTTCGTTCCTTTACAAATGATTTTAATTTTTTAAACTTTTTTATATTGAACATGACTTTGCTTTTCAGCAGCGAAAAATCTGTGGACATTATACAGTACATGCGCTAGATGAGCAACACGGTCAGCTAAGCTAACAAAAAAATACAGTTTATCCATCATAATTTTTTTAGCCTTTAGCGCACGCGGACAATTGGGAGTGTGACATTTCGCCGCACTCAAACTCGACGCACGACTTTTCGCCGCGAAGACATTTCGCCGCCGGACATTCGGACGCTGGGACACTGCGGTTTGGGACATTATGCTTTGAAACATTTTACCTCTGCGACATTTCGACGCAAGACGTCTGGTCGCGGACAATTCGTCTTGGGACATTTCGAACGATGCGACTGATCACCGCAAAGTAATTCACCGCGCTTAATTCTCACTAGTTTTTAATTTTTTTTAAAATTGTTGTAAGTTTTCTTAGGCTTTCTTAGTCTTTCTTAAACTTCCATAGGTCTTCTTATGCTTTTTTAGGTCTCTTAGGTTTCCTAGGTTTCTTGAGTTTCTTAAATTCTTTAGGTTCTTTAGGTTTCTTAGGTTTCGTAGGTTTCGTAGGTTTTTTAGGTTTCTTAGGTTTCTTAGGTTTCTTAGGTTTCTTAGGTTTCTTAGGTTTCTTAGGTTTCTTGGGTTTCTTAGGTTTTTTAGGTTTCTTAGGTTTCTTAGATTTCTTAGGTTTCTTAGGTTTCTTTGGTTCTTTAGGTTTCTTGGGTTTCTTAAGTTGTTCGCGTTTTTTTATTTTTCCCTATACTGACCCTTGAATACGCTTAGTAGATTATTTATCGGATAGCCGAAATGTCGCTACGTCGAGATATCCCTTCGGCGAAATTTCCTTGCGTCGAAACGGCCATCCGACGGAAAGTCTCGCGGCGTAAAGTCCTACCAACGAAATATCCTGCGACGAAATGTCGCGAGTCGAAATGGCCTTGCGGTGATGTGTCTGCGACCGAAAGTCCTGCGACTAGTTGTCCGCGACGAAATGTCGCGGTGCCTTTTTTTAGTACTTTGGTTACAAATTTGGCATTTTGTGTTGCACCCTGTCATGCAGCAAAAATTTGTAAGTGCCAACACATCTGAAACTGGACACTGAGACGTTGCCTTTGTTCTTGTAAAAACAAGTTTTTTGCAAATTATTTTACTAAGCACTATTATGTAATTATTTATAAACGGTCTGCTTGTGGATTGCACGAGAATTTTGTCTGCTGGGTTTTAGTTTTCCCGCTTCTTGGCCGAGAGCCGTCATTATAAAGTCGCAGAGCCGCATATTACAAAAACAAAAAAGAGCGACTCTACCAGAATTTGTAACACGAGAGACATCAATCTACTGTACTTAGCTGAAGGACAGCAATTTTTAATGTGAAAACCGGAAAATTCGAATTTATTTTGCCAGGACATCTTCCAGTTCCATCTATTTTTTGAAAATACACAAAAAAATTTTTAAAATTTTTTCAATCTGTTTTTTTATCTATTTTTTGCAGTTTATTGAAAATTCACAGCTTTGTAAAAAGTTGATTCAGCTGAATTTTTTTATGTGATAAAAGTTGTTCTTTGAACGAGACTAACGTGATCTTGATCAGACATCGGGGCCCGGGCGGAACCAGCCCACCGTGACAGAACAGACGGCCATTTTGTTCAGCCACCCGGTAGCAAACAAGTGCTTCTTTCCTTTATACAGTATACTGGTTAACTGTCTGGTTTATTACTTCTGTTGCGGAATCTGGCGTAAGCCAGCAGGTGGAAAATTCGCCATCGGATAATTTGGAGATGGTATGCCCGATAAAAATCCCGACTGGCGAGCAAATCTCGATACAATACAGACCTAATAAGTGAAGTCAGCGCAGTGGTGTTTACAAACGCATTTCACTTGCATTTCACTACGCAGCTTATAATGCTCACTTGCTTGTCACTAATACGCGCAGAACACCAAACCACACGATTGGAATTTTGATGTTGTAAAAATTGTGATATGTTTTTTGTAAATATTTAATACGCTGTACCTCGGTTCAATAAAGCACACGTAACCACACGACTCTTATAACTGCCAGTCCTGAACCTTGTGGGATAATGGGAAACATCTTAAGTGAACCGGTATTTCAACCCTGCGCGCAAGTCAGAAGTCCGGGCGAGCAACTCTGCTGGGGAAGTGAAAGAAGTGTTGCCGGAATGGAAGAGAGAATAGGGCGCACGTTCAAATATTCCATTGAGTGTACTTCTGGCTATAGTGGACCTTTCCCCACGCGCCATCATTTTCTGGTTATGCGGATATCCGATCATGTGTTCGTCGTTTTCCAATGGCATGTCGGTGGGAAGACACCGGAAAACTTCGTTACGGACCACCTACGGGCGACACTCTGTAAAGAGCTAGGCTCCTTTAGTGTGCAACAAGTCTCGACTGCTGTCAGCCAAGTGGCTGCTAGTACTACGTATAATCCTGTACATTTTAACTGCAATCAGTTTACTAACGAAGTAGCGCACTTACTGACCAATCATGTGTACAATGTGGCCTTGTGGTGTGTTTAAAATAGCAGAAATATCATTTAAATCTCTTGAGCTGAAAAACTGTGTAGCGGCTGCCAAATGATTGATTAAAATCACCTGTTATAGCGCTTTCGTGTGGGCGATTTTGTACGTATGTTGCATGCTTCGCTGATTGTGAGAATAATCCTGAACGATTTATTAACAAAACTTTGGAAGACGCCAAATCCATTAGATTCTACCTATCTACACAGAATGTGGTCATGTAAGACCATGAGTGGTCATGCTTTGTCGGCAAGTTGTGAAGTGGCCGCCGGCAAATTGTGCAAGGTGTTCTAGATCTAGATGCTATGTTGTGATGCTGTAATCTGTGCAGTATAAAACGTGCGGTAGGGTCTATGTGTAAGGAGAGAGATCTGGAATAAAGTTTAGCGCGCAGTACGGATCGCCAAAGCTTGAAGCGGCATAACGCAGCGATATACGTGCTCGAGAAGTACTGATTTCGCCAACCGAAGCCAAGCTTGAATACTGAAGTTTCACTGCAGAAAAAATGTTTTTATTCACACTGTGGGCGACCTGCTCCTTGATGTACCCTGTAGGTACAGATATATATGCCGACCGAACAGCATACGCTTTATCTACCACAACACCTGTTCGTAATCGCCAGAACGCTACTTTTCTAAAATGTTCGAGTTTCAAATTAACTGTTAAAATATCTGTCGTATTTTCCGTATTTTCCGTGTATTCTTAGGTTTCTTAGGCTTTTTAGCACTTTCTTAGGCTTCTTAAGGCTTCTTTTCTTAGGCTTCTTCAGTTTCTTAGCACGGGTGGAAGATCTGTTTGTGCTACGCATCATTCTAAAGTATGTACTACGGTATATTATATGGGTGTTGATATATTTTTAAAGGGTAGTTTTTAATACGCAGCAAACCCGTCCGTCTTTGCTTCGGTTTTTACTACAAAACATGAAGTACTAACAAAGGGTCCGTTCTCGAAGCTTCGCTTGTCCAGATTCTTAATGCTCACAGTAGACCAGGAATCGGATCGATTTGAATCAGACTGGGGAGAGTATATGTCCACAGAATCCGGCAGACGATCGACGCCGTCTATGGACAAACGGCATCCACCGAAGACATACAGACGCCCATCCTGAGCGAATGCTCCATGACCGATGCGCGCTTTGGGCAGGCTACAAACAGGCCAGCACTGGAATTTCGGGACATCACGACCCAAAGGGTCGATGTCCAGGCGTACGCAGGACTGCATGAGACGGAAGCGGTGCGAGCTGTCCATGGCTGCTTCCCATTCCTGGGTGATGTTAATCGGAGTGTTGTCCATCAGTGGCATGCTGGTTCCGCCCATTATGTAGGCGTGCTCACCCAGTACGCCTGATGCGCAGTGTCGTCTTGATTCCAGTAAAATAACATCGCTAAACGAAATTTCGGTGACAGTATTTAGGCTTTCCACCCGATGGCTGTTGTCGTACCATAGCCTTTCGAGACACAACATCACCCGTGTGTCGGGGTGTGTGGCTGTCATCCAAATCCTCCTAAAACACAAGTGTAATTTACTATTACGAAACTCTAACGAATTGGGGTATTTTTTCGATGTTAAAATTTTTGTCATTTTAAGTAGTTTTGTCATTTTAAGGCTGATCTTGGATATGTTGGTGCCTGTTGCCAAATAAAACAATTCACTATAAAGAAATGCTGTGCTCCGATTATACAAACTCTTATTTCTTACTAACACAAAAGAGACTTTTACTATTTTTACAACGGATTCTGATATACTTCTTACGAAGGGAACATAACGCTCAGTACAGAAAGTCCCTCAGTTCAGTTTGGTTATACATGTGGCTACAGCGCATTTGTTCACGTACAGAGTAGTTCGCCAATTTGCGCATGTCAATTTGCGCAGTTATGCACAAAATAACCGGGTTATGAGAAAAGTCGAAACATCCTTCGGTACAAACAATTCATGATTGTTACGTACTCAGCTAGTTTCGATGCACTCTGTAGCAGCCAGGATGATCCTGGGCGACGTGGAGCCGCTAAGCTGATCTTAAAATCAGAGATCTTCCCTTTTTTCAGATCCCCTACGTCCCAGAAATAAATGCAGTCCATTATTACAACAGGGGTGACGTACCACTGGTGGACTTCGAAGTCCGTTGTTACTGTGTGCCACGTGCCAGTGTCCATATCAAACGACAAAATGACAAACAGACCACATACCGCGTGCTCTGAATTCGTCCGTACTTGACAGAGAATGCGTCGTGATGCCAGTACGAACGAGTTGGGGACATACCGCCGACCATATGGATGGGCCGGCAAACGGAATTTCCGGACGGTACACGAGGTAATATCCAGTAGCTGCAGTCGCACACGAACCAATGCCGAGTTATATTGGAAAAATTGGTGAACGCACAGAATTTTGCCGGGACTGATGTCGCATGGCTCGACGGCAGGTTGGGCCCAGTTACCGCAGTGGCGCAGTAAATCCGCCCGTTCGGCCAACTCGGCATTAGGAATCGCGCCTATCCAGATTTTCAGCAGGGCGTTTTTCAACTGGATAGCCGTTGGTCGGCGGCTGTTGTCCTCCGACAAGCATTTCATGACCAGCTTTGCTATCGCTCGATAGCCAATACTTCTGTCAATAACCGGCACATCATCGCCTTCTATAAGTTTCTTTACGTACTGAAACGGATTTCTAATGAGGCCATCCTGTGTATTAGAAATTCCATAATGCCGATGAACAAAGTCCCGAATTACACACCCCAAACTCCAGATATCAGCAGCCGGTCCCAGTTCGATCTCTTGGTCTTGATACGATCGCCGGATGAACTTGCGTGCCATCTCTGGTGACATATATCTCGGTGTTCCTCTTGCATGCGTGTCGGTGTCCGTGACCGGACGGATGTATTGCAGCTGCAGGTAGTCATCCAAATCGCCAATTAGCAACCTGGGATGACCACCCGTGTACCGCTGTACAAAGATGTTTTGTGGTTTAATATCGCAGTGGATATACTGGCGTTCGTGCAAATACTGCAGACCATCCGCGATCTGCATTCCATAGCACATGATCGCCGAAAAAGAAAAGCTGGTTTTTGTTGTTGTATCTTTTTCCATAAAATCATGCAGCGTACCACCTGTCAAATAATAGCTCTGCGTGACGCAGCTGGAAGTCACAACTAAAGAATAAGTCGTACAATTCGGCTTTTATTTCGAAACTTCAGAGATTCATTTTTTTAATTTTGGGTTTTGGTCACGAAAAGTGAATCTTTCTGCAACACGTTAGCACGAAAATGAGAAATTATGTAATTACGAAAATTATGTAAAATATTAAAAAATGCAGTTTTGAGATATGCAGTTGTACTGACAACTATCTTTTATCAATCTAACAGTTGTAAGCAAAGTGAACCGACGCCCAATGCTCAAAAAATGCAAAACTAATTTAACGAAATCTGTAATTGTTCGAGTGCTATAATGTTGGTTGAACGTAATATTAGCTTAACCGCTGCAGTATTCCATTGTAAACCGCAGCCGGTATAACGCCGAACGTCCTTCCTCCACAATATCGATTCTATAATATCTGACCAAATGGTTATGGTTGAACGCCAGTAATGTCAGCCATTTTTCACGTTGTCGTGTGCCGTTTCTGCTGGTATCAAAGGGTTTAACAGAAGAAAGCGCGGTAATTTTTAGTGCCAAAACATTTTCAAAATCACACGGGTGATCCTTAACCGCTACACGATAAACACTGCCATACGCTCCACAACCAAGGAACTTATTATCTCGCCAGTCCGCCAACTTAAGACATGCTCCCAGTGATTCGACGTCACGTAGATTAGCGGGTACATCCATTGCTGGTTTGGTACGTACACACTAACCCCAAATGCGTAGCTTAGTGGTGATTGCCAAACAGAACTGCAAAAAACAAAACTTCCCTTGTACAGTTGTACTTAATTTCAGTATTCACACAGGATCGGCGGCTTTCGGGTAGCGGCACCATGGAATCCGATTCGATAATTTTCGATTCTAAGACAACCATACTCGCATATATGGGAAAGTTCTTCACCAGTGGAAATTAACAACAGAGATCGCTTGTTATACATGCACGAGTTTGGTCGCTACCAGGCCAGAAGTCAAAGTCCAAAGAAACGTCTTGTACTCGTATTTTTCACCAAAGTATCGTCCTTAGCATTTATCACTGTTGTTAAAGGAAGTACGCTTACGTGCTACACAGTCAAGCTAACTGTGAGCCAACTTAAAAGCGCAAAAGACGGCGTCAGCATGCAGGTAACGCAGTGCACTGTAGCTGAAAGCTTTACTGTAAATGATCGAATGTAGTTTTGACGGGACGTATGTAGCACGTACAGCACCTTGCTGACAGCCTGGAGCCTCGGGCACGGTATGCTGTATAATTGATCGGCATAATATTATGTATACACTACGAATATCATAAAAATGATGATAGAAATAATGGTAGAATCATATTAGTCAGACCCACCAAGACAACGTATAACCATATCCCGACTATTAGTGTATTAAATAACCCGGTAGAAGCTCCTTAAAATTAATGTTTCATCTAGGACAGAATTAATGCTGTTAAACACCGTCGTAATAAATTTATTTGCGGTTATTGGTCTTCTTTTTGTGGTTGCATGAATTACGAAATTAACCATGAATGTGCATGATTGAGTGTCTGTATAAACCATGTACTCGGGAAGATTTTGCTCCGATGAAGTAGTATTCCGTGAATAAAGATCTAGCCAAAACAGGGTAATTATGTGTCTGCCGTCAGACATTCGTATGGGATGAAAATCATTAGAGGTAACCAGCTGTTCTGTTTATTTCTGTCTGTGGTCCGGTAATAAAGTATCTATCACTCTGCCCATAGTCTGGTGGCATAGACTCATATGGTTGTCAGTGACCTCTGTTTTACTTTTGGTTATTCGCTGCTATCCATCCCGAGGGGACGGTGTCACATTACGAGAAAACATCAAAATTTAATCATTTATACATATATTAATACTTCTAATTATAGCATAAAAAAGTTCTAAAAAAGATTAGCAGTGTTACAAGTGATATTTCACATTCAACATAGCAAAAAATGAGCGCTTTACTCCAGGTTTAAATCTCACGCTCCGCAGCTAGCACACCAAAGGGAGACATTGTACGTTTGATGGGTCAACATATGTGCTACTTGGTTAGTAAATTGGTTGCCATTAAAATATAACGGGTCATATCTTTCAGTATTTGCTTCAGATACTTGTTTGACAGCAGCTGACACCTGTTGTACACTAAAGCGATCAAGGTACTGGCATTGTTTCGCTCCCCACAGTCGGTCGGTGGCAAAGGATTTCGGCTTCGTGTCATCCACACGCCATTGGAATACCACGAACTTATCCGGGGATATCTGCATAACCACGAAGTGAAGCCGCGTGGGGCGTGGTCCGGAAGGGCTGGAGATACGCGCGATAGAATAGATAAATGTGTGACCAATTTCATCTCCCATTCCGTCAATGCTTATCGTGTTCCCGCAACGAATCTCTTTTCCCGCACTGTTTCCCATTGATTCCAACAGCGTTGCTAACTGACGGATGAAAAACTGAAAATCGTTTGGTGATCAGTAAATGGTACTAAATAGCGTATGTCCGCGAACTGTTGTGCACGGCAGATGAGCGTTGGGACAGCACAAGAAATTTTCTCACCAGGTGGAATTTTATCGTGAAAGCATCTTCCGCGCTATCAGATTGCAAGTTTTCCGGCTGCTTTTGGCTCACGTCTAAGTAATTTACAACGTTCACCGAGTGAAGGTAATACACAGACAAATAAAAACAAAGACTGTCTGTGAAGTCTGCCACACGGACGGCGTCTCGAAAGAAAGGCTAAAGGCACTGCCGTTGATTAAGCATACGAGTATTGATGACAGCGAGGTGATCAATTATTAAGAGTACACATAATTAATTATACACAAGTTAAGCTCGTAAGTGGTAATGCTACATTAGACGTCGTGCCACGTTAACCGGCCCACGAACGGCCCGATCCAGCATTGCAGTGGAATTTTCATTTATATACACTATACAGTACCTACTGTATCTTGGAGCTGAAAATTTATACCCTGAAGGCAGCAATGCTTGTATGCTTGAGCGATAATATTCCTTCATATTTGTACGATATGCACACTTTGAACTGAGGAACACGTTGTGCTAAGTTTACTTTAGTGGGGAATTTTATAAGTTCCGTTTATTATTACATTGCCCTCTAAGCATCCTACCTTTACGCCCTACCAAAAATCTATATCGTTGGTTTCCAATGTAACCGCACTACCTGCACATTTTCTTACTGGTTTAAAGCTGTGAGCCTCTATTCGGAACCACCCAGCCGTAAACTCAACACTAATACTCGCACTGAAATTCAGCGCATGTATGTTATTTTCATTTACAGCCCTCTCTGGCAAGACGTTCAGCGTCTTGGTTGTGAAGCTCATGGCATTGTTTATAGCGCAACGGTTACGGACCATGCCTACGATTTCGGGAACACGCTGGCATTGAAAATAGCGTCGGTTAAGCCTGTGAAACCCATGGATACTAGTCAAAACGCACGCGACAACGCGAAAAGTGGTAGAAATTACCGGCATTCCACCTCAAGAATTTGGTTTGTTACTACAGAGTCGATATTATGGAGGAAGGCGAATCAGCGTCCTACCGGCTTCGGTTTACAATGGAATACTGCAGCGGCAAAGGTTTAAAATTAGAGCTATAGTCTGTAATCAATATAGAGCAAGTATGCACCGATAATAGCGTCTTTGCAAGTTCTTGCCAGTTTGGAAGGCAAAATATAAGCATCAATAAACTTCGTGTTTTGCCACGTGACAGGATAAAAAAGTACTGTAGCGATTAGTACGTTGTTTTATCTGTACGTACTTTTCCTTTTCCATTCGTGCATTATAATATTATACGAATGCAGTTTCCGAACGAGTATTCTGTATAATATTATAAGTCCGTTTGCCTCGTATATGTAAGTCTGCTTGTGGCAAAACTTTTAGCACTCTCTTTGTCATTCTGATTTTAGCAGCCTTCGGAGTTAGGAATTAAACTACCGTCGGAGATGTTAGATTCTCGTTTGCGTAGATTCGTCGACTTACCTAGGGCACACTGAGGCTATGAGCTCATACTCTGTCGTTAAGTACATTGTAAGGTCGATAGAATAATAGATTATTGCGGTAATTATTCCTAACGTACTCGTCTCTCCGTCACAAGCACTCGTATCGCCCAAGCAGTGAAGATTTTTGAATAAGATCTCTTTATGTTTGGGGCAGGTGCAGAAGCTTATGACTGAGGTCACAGGACACCAATGCCTGCTCGTTTTCGGCAACGATGTACAATGGAATGCAGATTCACGGAGGGCCTGCACGATATGCACGATCGAAACCACATTCACTGCGATAATAAACCAATAAATATCTTTGTATACCGGCACAAACGCGGCCATCACAATTCACAAGCTGATAATCACAAGCTGATTAGCAATTTGGATGACTTTCTGCAGCTGTGATATCACGGTATGTTGGGAAATGAGAACACACACGTGAGAGAAGCATGGCGGCACATGTCGCCGGAAGTCGCACAGAAATTCTTTTGAAGCTTGTATAAACATCAGGACGTCATGTTGGGGCCCGCTGCGGATATCTGGAGTCTGAGCTATATTATCCACGACTTTGTCAAACGACAAACGGTATTATGGAGTTAGTAAGGCATCGGAGGAAATTGAATTTCAATATACAAGAAAGCTCATCGATGGCTATGCGCCGACTGTTGACAGACTTATTACAAATCAATCGTTGGTGAATCTGCTTGTGAGATGCTTGTCGGGGGACAGCTTCGATCGGCCCACCGCCCGTCAGTTAAGGAACGCACTGCTGAAAATCTGGACAGACGTTATTCCTAATTCCGAATTGGCAGAACGTGCAGATTTCTTGCGCTGCTCTGGTAATTAGGCACAGCCCGCTGTCGAGCCATCCGTCATCACACCCGGCAAAATCGGAATTTCGGAATTTCTTCTACGATCGAATCCGTGGGCGGGTTTGTGGAATGCAGGCAAAGATAGTCCATCCCATCCGCCAAAAATGGGATCAGTTTTACCCAGCGCGAGGTACTCGGCCTGGTGCTTGTTGTTGACATAGCCATAGGGCAGGATGGGTAAAGCAGCATGTCCTGCAATGAAAGCAACGAAGATCAAAGGGCACATGTTGCAACGGTAGTATACCTGCAACACGTGCGATATGTATGCATCAGCAATGTACTCTAAAAGGAATGCGCCGCGCACTGGCCTTATATGGGTGCTGTCCGCAGTACCCAACCCAGATCGGTTACCGAAGTAATGGATGTGATCTCATTATTTCGTGAAGTTCCTGATCGATATTTTTGTTCATGCACGTGATTAAGTGCAGAACTGGCTGATGACGTGAAGACACGCACACAGGAGAGAAAGCAAGAAGAATTCATGAAGTCATGGGAAATACCATGGAATTTTCTTACGATCTAGATTGTCGCGGAGAAGAAAGACAGCGAAACCGTTTATTCTGTTGGGTACTGATTGATCGTTGTAGATTATAAGCCATAATTAACAAATTAAGCGCTGGGGAGCGTCGTCGACAAATTGGATCGTCGGCTTCGCGGTGTAGGTTATCGATGGCGGCCAGGTAAACTTTGGCAGTATTTACGCTGGCGCCTTCATCATGTAAGCTGGCGATGAATCGGGCGACTGTGGTAGGATGTGCTGGCAGTGGAATAAGACGGTGTGTGGCGCAGAAGTTGGTAAAGCGCGTTGCGCCGGCACGGTAAGTGGATCGTGTGGATGTTGTGATGTGGGCTTCCAAGAGACGGCTCAGTGATGGGATATCCCGTAGGTTTGTCGAAGATCGTCGAAGATGTTCGGGCACGGCGTTGGATGAGCGGCTGCTAGCGGTGCGAGACGTCGGAAACGGGAAACCTGGAAACGAGATAGTGCATCAGTTATGCCGTTGTCCACACATATGACGTGTTTGAGCGTAAAAGTCATGTTGTTATCCGCGGCTGCAGCCGACATGGGGCCCGACGCAGGCCCATGCTCAAACTCGGACTTGGACTCGGACTTGGACTACTAAAACTTGGACTTGGACTTCACTTGGACTCTAAAACTTGGACTTCACTTGGACTCTAAAATTCGGACTTCACTTGGGCTCTAAAACTCGGACTTCACTTGGACTCTAAAACTCGGACCTTACTTGGACTCTAAAACTTGGACTTTATGACCTGGACTTGGAATTAGGCGTTCCTTATGTTTCTCATGCCTTCTTACGTCTCTTCATGTTTTCTTAGGTTTCTTAGGTTTTTAGGTATTCTTAGGTTTCTTAGGTTTTCTGAGGTTTTCTTAGGTTTCTCAGGTTTCTTAGGTTTTTTAGGTTTCTTAGGCTTCTTGGGTTCCTTAGGTTTTTCAGGTTTCTTAGGTTTCTTAGGTTTTTTAGGTTTTTTAGGTGTTCTTAGGTTTTTAGGTCTCTTAGGTTTCTTAGGTTTCTTAGGTTTCTTAGGTTTCTTAGGTTCCTTAGGTTTCTCAGAATACCAAGGAATACCTAGATAACCTAATAAATGTTAGTAACCTCAGAAACCTAAGAACACCCAACAAACCTAAGAAACCTGAGAAAACATGAAGAAACGTAAGAAGACATGAGAAACGCCTAAATCCAAGTCTAAGTCATAAAGTCCGAGTTTTAGAGTCCAAGCGAAGTCCGAGTTTTAGAGTCCAAGCAAAGTCCGAGTTTTAGAGTCCAATTGAAGTCCAAGTTTTAGAGTCCAAGTGAAGTCCAAGTCCAAGTTTTAGTAGTCCAAGTCCGAGTCCAAGTCCGAGCTTGAGCGCGGGCCTGCGACGCATGAGGTGTAGCACGCCTGGATTGGTGGATTTCAGACTCTCCCACACCAGCGTCGCGCCCTCGACGACGACAAATTGAGCGCTGGGGAGTGAAATCCATAAGTACATGCTAAACCAGGTTATTTGGCTAAAGTGGGTAATTACCGCATCAACGTATCTGGATATCCAGAAACTACATAATTATTGCATGGTGTTCAGCATGCCAAGACCTGCCAGGACCTGGAAATTGGAAAATAAACTCAGCTGCTTCTTGTTGGCCCGACTAGACGCTTCAGAAACAACGCTTTAATACAGCTTTTATATACGTAAAACAAGTCTTGTATTTGCCTGCAATCCGCACTACACTTGGAAAACGATTTTTCTTACCATGTAAACACATTTTGCTGCCGCCTTCTTTTTTCGGGTAATCAGTCTCCTAATGGGCACAATTGCGTTTTACGTGTTCTTTGGTGTAAGAACGACCTGTCTTCCTTCCACTGATTAGGTTTTTACCAACTGAAACTACATTTTAATCTACTTACATGTTTTGTAATTTATTTGTGTTAGAAGTTGTGCAAAGTGCCTCGGAGGCAAAGTGGCTCGGTGGACATTTCCCGCTGCATAAGGAATTAAATTAAATTATACGCTTTGGTCCTTCTGCCGAAAATGACCGTTCTTTATCGAGGAAGATCGTGTAATGGGCGCAGAGGACACTGAACTGCAGAACACGTGCAATATATGTTACACGTTCCACAGTTTATAGATTTTATAGACTTAATTATTTTATTGCGCGATATTGGCAATGCAACATGCACCATGTGCATGCTTTGATGTGATTCCTGATTCCTGTATTTATTTACTGCTTAATATTATCGTAATTAAGATAATACTATTATCTCCGGCATCCCAGTGTGTCCATGCCGGCTACGTAATAACTCATTCTAGACACATACTCGAAAGAGAGGTTATCCGAGGTAACCAAAAGCTCCATCATCGAGAGAAAGCGTTTATCTCCTTTCGTTAATGGTGTACTATTCCCAATTTGACATAAGCCAACAGAGAAAATTCACAATCCATAGGTGTGATATAGTATGCACGATAAAAATTCCGACTGCCGAGAAAACTTTCTATACAGCCTTAGTAACAAAGTCTACGTACCTCGTAGTGTGGAACAAGGACAGTGTTACATACAGTTTAATGAGTTTTTGCAGCCTAAAACGCTCAATTATCAGCTAGGGGCGACGCAGTCCAAGAACTCGACTTCTTTAGCTTGAAACAACCGTTAAATTGTCTGCTGCTGGATGGCCGTCTGTACGTGCTCGGTGGATACCGTCTGTCCGTGGACACTGGGCAGTAACGTCCGTCTGCCTTTTACGTGTACTACACTCTTCGGACTCCGAATCCAGTCCCTGGTCGATTGTGAACATTACGAATGTGGACAAAGTGTGCTTTGAGAACGCTCCTTTTGTAATACTACTCTGTACAGTACAAGTACATGTTATGTATTACAAGCGTAACCAGAGACTGAACGCTCAAACCGCCAGACAAAACGTCAATTTATAGCTTAATATTTTTCCGTTCGACAACGACAATAATCAGAATTTAGCTTAAGAAGATGCCATCCTAGAAAATAACCGATTTTCCGGGCCATGTTCAAAGACATTGACAAACCGGTTTTAGATTACGGAGAAGATTACAATAAACGAAAACAAACTCTGATAACATAATTGCTAACAACTGGATCTGCGGTAATGGAAATCCTGTAAAAAAATAACGAGATATTGAAAAAATTAATAAAAAACAGGTCACAAGCTGTGGTGCAATTTTACATTGTGTGCATCAACCAAGAAACCAGTTGCCTTCCTGCTTCGGGAAGCCGGCACTCCCAGGCATAAAACTACCCAGTTTCCTTAAAGGTCGCACGCTCGCGATGAGTCCAAACGGAGTGTAGTAGAAGCGCGGTAATGGTAGCGGACTAGAAGACACTGTGGCTTCGGAATTTCCCCTGACACGGGCCACTTTGGCGGATTTGTGGATCGTCGGCAAAGATTGTCCATTCCATTCGCCATATATCGGGTCGGTTAAATCAAGCGGAAGGTACGCGGACTGCTGAATTTTCTGGACATTGCGTGGGATTGGAAACGCAGCATTTCCAGCAATGAAAGCAAGGAAAAGCAGAAGCCACATTGTGACGGTGACCTGTAGTAGAAATACGTATTCCCGGCGCTTACTACTGTATGTATGTAGCAGTAATGTACGTGCAGATCGAATGCGCTGATTTTATATAAGGCAGTGTCCGCAGTGACCAACCCAGATTGATTATCCAAATATCCAAGTTTCCTGAAATTCCTGATCGATATTTTTGTTACCTGATCAAGTGCAAATCATCAACTGTGTAATCAATTGCAAAATTGGCTGATGGTGCGAGCCTACCTATACAGCACCGCGGCAAGAATTTATTTAAGCCATGGGAAACAGCATGGGACTTTCTTGTGGTGTTGAATGTCGCGGACAACCGAAACAGCAGTTCCGTTTATTTTGTTTAATACTGACCGGTTGTTGCAGATCATGCGCCGTAATCAATTCGACAGATTTTACGTTGGGAAAACGTAATCCATAAGTGTAGGCCAAACCGTGCCGTGTTCTTTTTTAGCATGGTATTACAGCTGTTGACTGCAGTTGGCGGTTCGTAAAACAACAGCTGATTTCAATCATCATTACACCATACATACTGTACATGCTCGTCTCAGAGACGGGGAACCCTGTGATAGCGAGCAGTACAGATACATACCCTAGCCTTCGTATAATACTGTAATACATTAAATAATTTTATGAATTTATGGAGTATCGAGACTCACAGCAAAGCTGCCAAGAAAGTCAACATTGAGCACTAATCATTCCCAATCAGCCAGTCTAAAAGCTAAAAAGCGTCCTCGTTATCCCATTGATTATTCCGAGGACAGACACTGCACTTCCGCGTTGCATCCGATATTGATACCCTGACGCAACAACGCTCCCGACCAAGAGCTACCGCTACATTCGCAAATTTTCCTTGACAAATCTTTTGTTAGCGGTCCAAAGGTTCCCGTGGTTTCAAATGGCAGAGATTGTACTACGTATCGATGCGCGAGACTTCCACAACTTCCGATTCTCTCTTACTTCCGCTGCACTTATTGGAACAAGTAAACAAATTGTAGTTCATGGGCATTTGCACTATTATATAGTAGAATGCAGCCACTGAGGCCACAGTTATGTTGAAAACTTTAATGCTATAATTTTGTCAGTAGCTTAACTAGCGTTAATAACCAGTAGTAAATTATCGAAAGCCCCATGTCGTTCGTGTGATAGAAGTTGTGTATCACATTTCTGCTGGTTAACCATCACAGAAGTTAATATGCCTAAGCTAGCAGATTGAGAATTCTCAGTCAGATAAACTTCCTGACTGGTAAGAAAATCTTGCGGACAGCCTAAATATGAACAGCCACCGGAGTGGTGTGCAACCAGCGCAGTTGCACATGCAAAGATGCAACTTGTAATGTTCACTGGCGTTTTGCCATTGACAAAACGCCAGTCCAAACGAATTTGTAACTGCCAGTCCAGGACAGAGGGAAAACAGGAAACTGCTTAAGTGAACCGGTATGTACGCCCTGCGCACATGACAGGAGTTCGGGCGAGCAAATCTGCTGGAGAAGTAAGAAAAGCTTTGCCGGAATGGGCGAAACTTTTAGGAGCACGTTCATCTATTCCACTGAGTGCACTTCTTCCAACGGGACCATTCTTCACGCGCCACCATTTCTTGGTTATGCGGATATTCGAGGTTGTGCGGATATTATCGTCGGTTTTCAGTGGTATGTGGGTGGGATGGCACTAGCAAAGGTATGGGCAAGCTGCGAGCGATACAGTGAAAAGCTTTGCTCCTTTAGAGCGCAACAAGTCTCGGCATGCTGTAGGGCAGATAGCTTCAGGTAATACGTAACCCAGTACATTCTAACCAGAATCATTTTACTAACCAAGTAGCACCTGTATGAGTGTCGTAGCAGAGATATCATCTAATTCGTTGAGCTAAACTACTCTATGGCTGCTGCCATATGATCGAGCAAAACCAAGGCGATGGCGTTTTGGAAAGTTTGCACCGCATGTTGCACACTTTAGTTTTTGTGAGAATAATCCTGAGCGCTTTCGTGAAATATAAGAAAGGCAAAATTAATTTATAATTTCCTAGGAACGCCAAAACTTGAAGCGGTCATATACCTACGTCATCTGTACTTCGCTATTTCTTATATTCCGGTCCCTTTGAGTGACCGGAATATATCGTTTCATGCGTTTCATGTGTTTCATGTATTTCGGGCTTTGTCGTTCTTCTCCAGCCATCGACCTTTAACGCCCAAGTGATTGTCGACAAGGGCGTTTAGTATACAGACACAACCCGTGCTCCATACGTCCGTTTTTCTACCAGGCCGCGTTGTTGCTGTTCCGCCTGGATAACATACTTTGCCATTTCTGTTAATATATACGGTACAGTACAGATATATAATAAACGTTGGGGATCCTTGCTAGTGGTATAACAATGTTCCATGAAAACACTGGTGTCCAGATCTGCGATGTACAAATGATACTGCTGTTTGCTTTTTTTTACGCAGAAGCACGTTACCTGGTTTCACATCGCTGTGAACGATTCCACGTTCATGGAGAAATGCTAGACCGCTTGCTATTTGCTTTTCGAAGTTAGTCATTTGGCTTAGCAAGAGGTTTTGGCGTCTTTCACTTAAATCTTTCGCAACCAACCCAGGTCACGATCTAGTATGCAAAAAAACCATGAATAAATTTTGTAAGCGAAGCTTTGAGAGCGCGCTCTTTGTCAGCACTAAGCATTTTGTTGTGTTTAAACACACTTGACCTTTGTCCATTCGACAACGATTTGACAAAAATTACTATTAATTTATCCCACGAAAGTATTATTATAAAAATTACGTATGCTTTATGTGTTACGTACTTGCTTTATTATATTTCCCTTTGGCAAAACAGCCGATTTTCCCGAGCCCTGATCAAAAAGGTTGACAAATCAGAGTGGAAAAACATTTCAAAAACTTTGCTTGTCTTAGAGTGCCTCGGTGTTTGTGATGTCACCGTTTTAGGTTACGAAGAAGACATGTAGAAACTGTATTCAGGTTACGAAGTTACTGCAGTACATGTAGAAACATTGATAATAAATATGACAACTGGATCTGCGATTACAGAAATAAAAATATGACAAAATATTAAAAAGATTGCAATAAACAAAACAGGAACATCGCAATTCTGGCACAACTTGCACATTCATCGCATTAACCAAGGAACCAGTTGCCTTCCGACTTCAGGGAACCGGCATCCCAAGGCATAAGACTGCCCAGGGTCCTTAAGGGTCGCACGCTCGCGATGATTCCAAATGGGGTGTAATAAAAGCGCGGTACAGCTGACGGAGTAAAAGACAAAGTAGACCGGCAATCTCCCCTGACACTGGCCCCGTGGGCGGGTTTGTGGATCGTGGGCAACGATGGTCCATTCCAGCCGCCAAATATCGGCTCGGTTTTATCCAGCGCTAGGTATTTGGACTGTTGAAGTTTCATGACATATAA